TGTTTTTTGACTAATACGGTATATATTAATTGTAATCAATAAACACGTGTACCTATATTTGAAAAGAAAACTTTATAATCAAGAAATGGAATGGGTGGCGTATTTGGACGAAAATCATTTCACTTTCCCATTCACGAAACACGATCATAAAACGCATCAGCACTTGAAACAGACCGGATACAAATAAGGATAAACCCAGATACCCAGGATCGGTGTGACCGATATGGGTATCTTTTTTATTTTCATAATAAGTCCACGGCTATGCAAACTAAATTGTACTAATTTTGTTAATACAAATGCTAATCCATTGAAAATTTCATAAAAAGCAATAAATCGTATAAAAAGTGATTGGACTAAATAACGGATGACTTATCCAAAACAGCGTGAACCACTGTATAAATAGTAGCCTTGATTATTTGGACACAAATTTATGCAACAGACCTGCGTGTTGCAGTCTAACTTTTGACTGTAAGTTTTGTTAAATTTCCATACTGATTTATAGAACATTGGAAATGGTGTATGCATGAATAAGTGTATTCATACTATTGCCACTTCCCTAAAAAGTCAAATACGAATATGCTTCTATACTAGTATATGCGCGCAAAAAATTCCCCCAATTGCTTGTGCATAAGGAGTGAGAAATAAGAGCGAAAAATGTGTTAATTAAATTGTTTGAATTCATTGCGAACGCCATGCCATTAAATTACTACAAGCTTAACAAATTTTTTAAAAATCTATGAAATTCAAATTCAAGTATCAAATGAATAGAAACACGCTTTTCTTATCTGTCACACATGCTTTGTGATGCTGGTTATCAGAAATTATCTTTGAGAAAAGACTGTTTCCAGAAGGCAAAGAGAACAGAGAGCAAAGATTCTTGAAAGTCGTAAAGATTATAATTAAATCAATCTACATACATAGTTGTTAATTCTGAGTTCTTTACCATCGAGTTTTAATCATACCCAAGTGGTAAAAGGGTATACTAGCTTTGTGCGAATGTTTGTAAAGAGGTGTGGCAGACCCCACAAAATGTATATATTCTTGATCAGGGTGGCAAGCCGAGTCGATATAATTATGTCCGTCTGTACGTCCGTCTGTCTGTCCGTCAGTATGAACGCAAGGATCTTAGAAAGAAGCACCTCCGACCCAATAAAGTACTTGTATATATATTTTGAATAAGCATGACGAGAGAAATCGATCTAAACATGTCCGTTCGTCTGTCTGTCTGTCTGTCCGTCCAGATGAACGCAAGGATCTCAGAAACTATAAAAGCTAGAATAACCAAAGTTGGTATCCAGATTCTCCTATGTCCGAGAAAGGACGAGTTTATTATACCCTGTATCCGTAGGGTAAAAAGGGTATATTAGGTTTGTGCAAAGTATGTAACATACAGAAGGAAGCATCTCCGACCCCATAAAGTATATATATTCTTGATCAGCATGACGAGAGAAATCGATCTAGACATGTCCGTCCGTCTGTCCGTCCGTCTGTCCGTCTGTCCGTCTGGATGAACGCGAGGATCTCAGAAACTATAAAAGCTAGAATAACCAAAGTTGGCATCCAGATTCTCCTAGGTCCGAGTAAGGACGAGTTTATTATTTTTTTTTAATTTCCCCTTCCTTCCCCCGCTGCAGAATTTCGTCAATAGCGTCCACATTTCAAATGCTACCTAAACCAAACTTTGCACACATAATTTATATATAATTGTCTACTGTTGTTTAAAATTCGTCAATTCTAAGAAAAGTTATTAGCGAAAGAAATTCTCGCCAGTACAACCCCCACAAACTGCAGCAACAAGTTCGCTCTTCTTCTTCCTCTTTTTGCTGCTGCTATGGGCGCATATAACTCAGTGACGGAAGTTTACCTGGGTACAGGGTATTACACTGTCGGGCTTGCTCGACTGTAGCGTTCTCTCTTGTTTTATTTTTTGGAAATTTTGCCTTCCCCCGCTACAGAATTTCGTCCATACCGTCCACATTTCAAATGTTACATTAACCAAACTTTGCACACATAATACACAATAGTCTACTTTTGTTGCAAATTTTATCTAAATCGGTTTGTTCTAAGAAAAGTTATTAGCGAAACAAATTCTCGCCAGTACAACCCCCCCAAACTGCAGCAACAAGTTCGCTCTTCTTCTTCCTCTTTTTGCTTCTGCTAGAAGCGCATATAACTCAGTGTCGGAAGTTTACCTGGGTACAGGGTATTTCACTGTCGGTCTTGCGCGACTGTAGCGTTCTCTCTTGTTTTTGGTTATGCTTGCTGTCATACCTCTGTTTAAGCCAATAATAACAACTTTATAGTATTTATGATTATAAATCTGACACGAATATATGCTTCGCGTGTACAGTGTATAAAAATATAAAGCACTAACGTATATATATGTAGAACATACGAGTATAGCTCATAGTCAGTCTGTATGAGAACTGACATTAGAAACACTTTTATCTGAAAGGCTTTTGCTGTATCTCTTCTTAATTCAATTAAACACCCTATCTGAATGCGTCGGCAATTACCAGCAATCGAAGACTGTAAGTCTCCAGCTGCCGGAATCCAACTACTGTCCGGAGATTTTGTGTTGGGGCGGCAAAATATTCAATTACAGCAATCTAAAAATGCAAATTGAGTCCTTCACTTCGGAAAAGCTCTGCAATGCTCACCAATGTCTCGCATTAAACTTAGCCCCTGCTTAAGGGCTTAAAGCAACTTTCACTTAACCACAGAATGGCGCAAGCGCCCCTAATAAGGTCTAATTAAGTAAATCAACAAGAGTTTACAGCCACCTCCCACTCCGCATGGTTTCTGCTTTATTTGCTTTATTCGCATAGAAGGTTTTAACATGCTACTTATGCGCTTAAGTTGTGCCGGCTAGCAAATAAATACCGGGCTGCTTCATTTGCATTTCGAAGCAGGATGAGATGGGGAGCTCAGTTATCCTACCGCCGGCTTGCATTGCCAACTAGATATGTATTCCAGTCGACAGTGCATTGGGGACTCGTGTCCGGGACGTTCCACCCCAATACCTTTTAACCTTTCAACGCTTTCGAAGATTAATTTGTAAAACGTCAGTTGAAGTCGCATTTGTTCAGTAAAATATCAACACCCATTAAAGAACTCGCCAGCATCTTTGCACTTCAAGCTTGCATTCTCGAATATCGCACCGAACTACCTTCATTTGTCTATCGATTGTGTTTGACAATTAAAAATGGCAACCGTCTGGCCGAAGCAGTTGCAAATTGCAGTACTGTGCGCCAGCGTAGTGTGTGTCAGCGTACTCCCTGAGAATAGTTGGTAAAATTTTACTTAAAGTACAACTAGTTCTTACCTTGTGGACATAAAGTAAAGTAAAGGGCAGTGGACAAAAAGTGTTCAAATAATGTAATGAATAATGCCGATAAAAAGATGGACATCGAACATAACTTAAACAACATTTACTTTAGAGCTTTAGTTTGCAGTATCTGCTGAAGGTTGCGGCTCCCTAACCAGCACTCAACCAGCAATATATTTCCTAAACAAAAAATTCTAAAATCTCTTGAATAAAATTAAATTGAAAACGGCTGAATTCTGCCCAATTTGCTTTATGTTTCTCTACCACCTGAATTCCTCCATTACAGCTGGTCATTTCATCTCAGCTTTAGAAATCTTAGTGTTGATATGGATGAAACCGTATATAGTAAACAAACATCATTGGAAACGAATTAGTTCCAAATTCTAATGTAAAAACATTAGTAATGCAGCTTGAGCTGAGTATAAGAATGCTTACGTATTCCTAGTGGCACCTTGTACCCTATCCTAAAATACAAATCGTTTCTAATGGCAGTATAGAAAGTTTGATGAAAGTTCTCACAAAATACGATGATATACCATATCCCTCAGAAGGACTTATTAATATTGACTCTACTCGTAAATAATTGGAGACTGCAACGCTCTCTTCTACCTTTTAGACTTTCTAGTATGGTATTTAATCTATCGCGCACGGGGATAAACATAATCTACAAATTATAAACTTTAATGGTTTCAGACTATATAATTATTGACTCAACATCTTTTTAATTTATGACAATATTTTAAAACATTCCATTCGAAGTTGCAATATATTTAATTGTATTTTTTATTTTTGGGCCTGTCATGCAGCCGTGTAGTTATTCTTATTTTTGTTGGGCTACATATGGAATTGGTTTTTTCGTTTGAGCCAACATATTTATCCATTAATTTTCGCAAATAAAGCTTCTACTCATACAACATACGCACACTCACGAAACCGCAATTGAAGCAGAAAAAATACACAAACAACCGCGATGCAAGGTAAACAATTTTAATTTATTTGCCCAATAATAAACCCATTAAATATCGTGGGCGATGCCGGGAACCGCCTCCCAAGCCACAGGCTTATGAAATCCGCCAACACAAATCAAATATGTTGAGAGCTCATTGGGACATTTTGGTTGGATGATTGGTGCGTTTTGTTTGAAATCCATGACTGCCGTATTTGTATGTAGTAAGATCTTCCAAAGAGATTTTGTAAGGGAGTATAGGCGGCATATGTATCTTCTGCATGTCTGCTGCTAGACAATTAAGACTGTTTCGCAATATTTAGCACGATTTCAGGTGCACTGTACCTGAGACCATTTCTATGCAATTCAAATCAATTTGGGCCAGAAAGCTCTGATTTCTTTCTGTCTAACTGTCTAAAGGCATTCAACAACTTTGCTGTAAAAAAACGGTTAAGGGGCAAAAATAAACACAAATACAAGTATAAGAAAAGAAAAGAAAAGAGCATAGTAAACGACATGGCAAGCACAAGAAAATAGTTGAAAGAACTATGCCAACTATAGATACGTGGATGTATGTGCACATAGCTACACACACAATCAAAGAGATCCAACTTTTCCCTTCAATCTACGCGCACTTTTGTGTTTGAATTTGCTTCCAAATGAATTTTTTTCCTGCCCAGTCACATGCACATCTGAGTGAGCTGTGATTGAAATAGTTACATTTGATGTACTATTCACAAAAATATATAACTGGAGCACACAGACTCGAACACACACTGGCACAAGTTTGAGTAATTAAAGTACATACTTTTCATATAAATTTGTCCCTTTTCGTGTATGTACAATTCGCAAGGGTAAGTATTCGTGGGAGAACAAAGAGCCAAACTCTGAAGCCAAAACCATCCTCTCGCAGCCTCAGAATGAATGTCAACTGCTCCGAAAACACCTTCAGCTTCTACGAGGCTATTCGAAAGAACAAGAAGTATCGCTACATAACATTTTGCATAGATGCCAATGGAACAATTGACATAGAAACCATTGGTCCGCGCGACACCGACTATCAGCAGTTCATGGAGGATCTGATGCGCGGTGGACCCGGAGAGTGTCGCTACGGACTCTTCGATCTGGAGTACATGCATCATTGCAGCATCACGGACACGGACTGCAAGCGCGAGAAGCTTATTATGCTTTGCTGGTGCCCGAACGGGGCCAAGGCTAAGCTCAAAGTACAGTATCAGAGCTACCTACGGTCATTTGTCGAGTGCTTGACGGGATTGCAGTACTACAGGACTGTGAGCGAGCTTTCAGAAATGACGCGCGATGCTGTAGAACAATATTTGAGGGCCACCGACAAGTAGGGGTTGGCGAACAAAATTCCAAGTCTGCATTTTCCTACTTACTCATCATTATGTTTAGTATTTATGTATGTCCCTGTGTCTAATTAAACGCCCAACTAAAAGCTCTTGCATCGTTCCATGAAATAAAATGAAGGGAACGCAAACTGTGCTCTCAGCAACTGTTATTACACAGAAAGTAGCGCCTTTCTTTGTTTTGAAATATACACCTCAAGGACTTGTACGAATAAGGAAAACGTATTCACATTCAATTTAGCAACAAACGGCAAAAGTTTTCGCTGGACAATAAGTAACGCGCCTGCACACAGAAGCAGACGACAACGGATGTGGCCACTAGAGAGTAGCTTGGATGCCAAGAAGAGTCTAGGCAAGACAAGAAGAAAAGCGGCGGCACAGAAAAAGCAGAAGTTTTTCAGTTTCTTGCTCCTCTTATTGCAAATTTTCACCGGCTCTTCGGAGTGCTGCGAAGTAAAAGGTGCTTCTTGTCGTCGCCGACTCTATCGTTGGTTGCTGCCGCGCCATGCACTGCCCTGCTCCGCGCAGCCCGTCCATTGTATTCTAATGGAGAAACATTGTCTTGCATACTCCAGGGCGTTTGCGCTGGCATCGACAGCTGCAGGTGCTATGGATATTGTACATAATGATTTTGGTCTATTGACATTTATGGCAAAAGATTGAAAGCCGCTGTGCTAAAGTTCTTTAAGTTGGGCTGCAAAGTTAAAGCCAAGTTACGCAGATTTGGAGGTGTGCATAGCGCTCGAATGCAGCTGACTTCAAAAGTGTGCAATTGAATAAACTTGGCCATGGAAGTTTGCACTTGGACAAACACAGCATTCGCACGAACCAGCTCAAATAGATTGTTGTTATTATTCGATGTTTGTTCTCTAAATTGTTGTGAATTTAAGAATGTAACAGGGACTCAAGTCCAACACAGAAAGCCCATGTGCCCAATAAGTTCCGCCACTGTTTTAAATGAGCTCTTTAAAAAATTGAACATTTTTATTTCACAGATATAATATTTAAACTCAATTTGAATAGAATTTAAAGAGGATCGACCCACCAAGGTGGGGCTTTACACGTTGTAGCACTTTTACATAGGACTAATGATGGTAGGATGATGTTTATTCGAACAGAGCAAAGCCATATCGCCATCTTCCGACTCGGATTCCTCTCTCTTCTCTGCCTTCTTGACAGCGACAGTAGCACCACCAACAGGCATTGAAGTAAGCTTTTCTCGGGAAGTTCTATCTACCTCAACACCATAACACACAACGCTAAGAAATACCTCTAAATTGGCATTGGAGAAAACAAATGTCGAAAGTAATAATATAAACCACGAAACCTGTACTCCAACTTGAAGGACTCTTCTTCCCTACGAACTGAAAACTCGTTTTCAGTTAATTCCCAAATCTAGGTTGATTGAGCACCAGATGGATGAACGGAGATGTCTCGATCGCTTTGCCTCTACATGATCGATGTCCGCCCGTCCGTCTATCAATCTAGTATACCATTTACCGGTTCCTACTAATGTCGCAACTTGTTCAACCTTTCCATTGCATTGCTTAAATCACAAAAAGTTCTAAAACATCGAGCCACCTAGGACATCAACAAATCGCTGTCAGTGAACTTTTAGAGGTTTTGTTATTTGACCAATTACGCTAGAGCCATGTCAAAACCGATAAATTGTAGTCGTTACACTTAATCGTTCAATTTGCTATACTCGTGGCAACAACGACGGCGTAATGTTCTATATCCACGGATATAATTGGTGGCAAAGTCCATTGCACTATCATTAAAGATATACTCGATTTAAGTTTAGCAATTAACTTTGTCAAAACTGGCCAACGGGCAGTTTGCTCAACACAGTACATACGCATGCACACACGCCTTCTCCTCTCATATAAATACGAAAATTCTTTAAATAATTATCATGTTAAAGAACTAAACGTTGACAACGTTTATGGTGCACGACAAGCTGCACAAAATGGTGGCACACCCACATAGAAAATGAATAACCCTGTCTGGCCCTGTGTGTTGTTGTTGGTGGTTCTGGTTGTGCTGTTGGTGGCATAAAAAGCATTTTGAATAATAAATGCATAATTCCGTATATACAAAAGGGCCTGCCATAAATATTGCATGAAAAATTATAGAGAAGCTATTAGGACAACAAACAAGCGGCTAGTGCGTGAGTTCACTTGACTCCTCTGACTCCTGGCTGGGTTCAGTCGAGCTCGGTTTGTTGACCGCATGCGTTTGACACTTTTTAATGTGGTTCTGCTGTTTTCTGAGCCTCCATTCTCACGACTCCGCCCTGCAGTAGTCATTTATATTAATTTACGTAAATTACGAGGAAAATATTTACGTTAAATAGCGCATTTGAAATTTAAATGAGCCCTCCCAGGACTTACCTTGGCAAGATGTTGACCGATCCATTTGAATATCTGAGGTTAGTGCCGTAGACCACCAGCTGTGCACGTGCTCGAAGAAAGAAATACTCGTACATCAACTAAATTCGTGCAACAACTTACAAAATGGGAACTTCAAACTGGCAACAGAAGTACACAGAAGCAGGCAGTGAGGACCAGTACTTGGCACATGAAAATGGGGGGCCAATGAGGATGGGGGCTAAAGGGAAAGATGTGGAGCAAATGGAAATGCTTAGAGTGTGTAAATGTTGTGTGTTTCGATGTGTGTGTAAAATTAAATATTCCTGTCAACTGCAGTCAGTGAGTCAGTCAAACAGCAGTCTACTGCCTCAGCGCAAACTCTTGCCAAGCCTCCACATTGCCACATGAACGAAATGTTGCCTTAACAATTTCAAATATTTGCACCGCACTTTATAGATTTTAGGCTTTTAAATAATAAAATAGCAAAACCACTACCACTACCAGACAGAGAACACAGAGAGAACGAAGAAATACAAAAATAAACTAAAGCATAACATTCTTTCCCTGGGCAACGGCAACGACATCGACTTCGACGTCGACTCTGCTCTACGATTGTTTCGACTCCCCAACTGCTCTGTGCTAAATGTCTTTTTGGCACAAAGCGCTCTTATGCCACATACCCGTACTACGTTATATACATATACTAGTACATACATACTCGTATGTATGTAGTTCAGTGTGTGAAGATGCTCCATAAAACATTTCCTTTTGAAGTACGTACTCAAACTGCATTCAAGCTGAGCAGCAGGCAGCAAGTAATGTGCAAGATCCATACGACTGTTGATCCAAGTCGAGTCCTTAAATAAGTTGCCAGGACGTGTGAATGAGTGCTTAAATACATACTATATGTGTCACTTTTCTGCTAAATGTGTTGAATTGCACGTATGTTTGTACTTACATCAAATGGGCTGAAACCAATTCAAAGAATAGGAGACATTGAATTAAAACCACGAGCCCAGCTTTACAAATTTGTAATTTTTCTAGTTCAAATAAATTACATGCAAAATATATTAATATACGTTTTTAATGTACAAATTTATCATTTTTATTATTTAAATAACTTAATTTTATAAAAACTTTATAAATTAAGATTTTAATTTAAATCCCTAAATTTCTGTGGGTATACTATTGTCGTATGGAACTTCCTTTTAAGTTAACCTATCACGATGAACTAAACCTTATACTTTCTGGACGGACAAACAGCCAGATGGACATGGCTATATTTATCTCAACTGTCTTATCTCTTAATGTCAAAACCTCAATAATAAAAGTCTTTAAACCTATTATATAGTTTATTTTGTAGGCGTTTTTACAGCTAACAAACAAAGTGCGAAGGTAAATGAACCAAAAACACAGATATGTAATAACAAGTAAAAAAGCTAAAGTCGGGTGTCCCGACTTTGAAATACTCTGTACATATATTTAGAATAATTATAGAAATTTTGATCGATTTTGCCTCTTTTGGTATTCGAACTCACGTAAAGGGTTTATAATTGCACATTTACATAGCAATTGCGTCTGTGTGAGTGTATGTATGCTTATGCGCGTCTATTCGTGTCTATGTGAACATGTTTGCAGTCAACCAAAGCACCAGCATCAACAACAGCTGCGGGCAGCGCGTGGGCAGCAAATATATTTATGGCTACAACATCTTGTTCAATCGGTCTATCATAATAACTAACTGGGGGTATTTGCAAAATTTTAGTTCGAAATTCCAAGAATTACGGGAGTTACGATTTGCGGGGGAGAGGAGGAGGGAGGGAAATTCCAAAATACACATTTTCTGCGTATTCGCATAAGGCATCTTGAACTAAAACTTGGTGTTCCTAGGTCTTATAGTCTCCGAGATATAGGCGATTATACGAATGGAAAATCGGAAAAGCCCCCATAGGGAGGGAAGTGGGGGGAATCCACAAAATAAAACAAACTTGCACAGCGTACACACATAACGCATCTTTGTGCAAAGTTTGGTGTCTTTACCTCTTATAGAGATCCAGGTGTTCATACGGACAGACAGACAGACAGACAGGGCTACATCGACTCATCTCGTCATGCTGTTCAGAATATATGTATATACTTTGTGGGGTCTGTTTCATTTTCAGCTCCCGCAAACCTAATATACTCTTATACATTTTATGTACAGAGTATTAAAATGTTGGAGCCCCATTTCCTCTGTTCAGATGTCAAGTTTTCCAAAACTCATTAGTGCTCACATAACACTGTAAAAGAAAACATGTTTTCAAATTTCAGCTGCTTAGCTCTTAGCGTTTAGGCTGTACCTTGATTGCCAATGAGTCAGGACAAACTGTTTATATTTATATATAGATAGACGTTACCAAAAGAAAACCCCTTCGCCACAGTATACCCGTTTATGTTTATGAGGCATGATATTAATGACAAAGCAGACAGTAGTGTTCAAGACCAAACGCAACCAAAGCTTATAGGAAGGAGACCTAGGACTTTTATGAAACTCGTACGTTGGCCTAATATAATTAGCCCAAATCCTAAGGACAAATGGGCGTCTGTTGAATCGTGGACAACTTTCTCCATATGTATGTATGTAGTATGTACTATTCGTATACAAAAATTTCTCCCATTTCTTCCGCTAAATTAATACTGATTGTGGCCGCTTGGTCGACGGCGTCAATGCGTCGCCAACATATCAAAGAAAGTTTCCTGCATACAGTGGACAAAATTAGATATATATTCGGAGATATTTGTTGTAACATATAGTACTTGCATGTAAATTCTAAAAGGATGGGGCTTAATGCATGTGTAACTTTTTAACTTTTGAACATTTTATATTTGCTGTCTATAGTTCAATATAGCTTGACCCATCTCTGCCGCTATTGCGACTATTGTCACTATTGAAATCTGAAACTTAAAATATTCCAGTAACCATTTGAAAGTTAGCTATGTCTTGTTCAGCTTTAGTTTTTACACCATTGGCGGTACATTAAAACGTTCTGGTAGTTATATGGCAATACGATTTTATGAATTCAAATAAGAAGACATTGCTGCTCGACAACAATTCACCAATTGTATTTCATTGCCTTACATAAATAATTGGTTTTAATTATTAAGCCCTAAACCTGAAGGGAAAAAGGTAGTTAGCAGAGAATGTCTGTATAGTTGTTATATTATTTTAAATGAATCATTCAATGTTGGCTAATACATACATATTTGTACATAACAATAGCCACACAATACAAATTCCAGCAAATTATAAAGCATTTGGACTGAACAAGAATTGACATCAAAATTCTTTGTGTAAACGAGTGGAAGAAGACTCTGGAATTCAGTAAAAGTCTTCCCAATTGAATGTCATTTAAATTTTAACCAGCTACTTTTCATTTCGTTCCATTTTTGAACGCGCCATTATAGTAATGGTAACAGAATAAAGATCCACATAATTTTACTCAAATTTATTTTTGGTCTTTTTTGTTTTTGTTGTTTTAATTCCGTTTATTTTTTCAGCTGTGTGTCCTTCTGCAAGTGTCGTCGAATTAAAATTCATGGCAGCGTATTTAACTGGAATTGAAAAGCGCACCCAAAAACTACAAGGATACAGACGTCTGTCCGCCTGTTCGGTACGGAGGCTGGTCAGCGTGCACATAATTTCTGTTATTTATAGCGGCCATAAAAAACTGGGTCAGTTCGTTGACGTTGAAGTCGACGGCATTAGCTGTGTGGCCAGCACCTTAATTAAAGCCGTTAAGAGCCGCACCGGGCTCAGATTTGCATGGAGTCAGTGGTTTTTTGAGTGTATGTGGCTTATAGTTTAACTTCAAATCAAATTAATTAACTTTGTAATGAGCAGTTTTGAGATTTAAATGATGTTGCGGTCAATGAGCGGCCGACTAAGATAAAAGATAAACAATGGTTGCCATTTGAAATTCTACGTTTATTCACAAGTCATGATAGTTCTCTCCCCGTTTGGAATAACGCTTTATCACATACCCAGCTGGTGGATCGTTCACATCATCGTTAAAGTCCACCTCATCTTCGGGCACCAGTTCGTAGGGAGCTGAACCACGTCGAACTCCGGATCCACCTCCAATCACCACAACGTTCCGCCGACGAGCTCCACCTGTTGCAGCTGTAGCAGCTGCAGCAGGTCCAGTCGGCCCGGGTGGACCAACAGGTCCTTGTGGTCCCTCTAGCCCTCGTTCGCCAGGATAACCCCGTTCACCTCGCCTTCCAGGGCGACCTGGTGGTCCAATAGCGCCTGGAGCGCCTTCGCGTCCTCGTCTGCCCGTGTTTCCCGGAGTACCCATCGGGCCCTGACGGCCAACAATTCCTCGCTCCCCACGCTCTCCTTTTTCGCCTACTATTCCAGGAGAGCCTACTGGTCCGGGGGCTCCGGGTGGTCCAACTTGCGTGATGTACTGCCCCCAAGTGTTGAAGGCCATGCCGAGCAGCAAGAACAGCACAGTTGTAAGCGGTCGCATGATAGGGTCTACTCTGTAGATGGACTTCCCAATGCCATCGCTTTTTATAGCAAAGCCGAGCTATTAAAATGGCCAACTGGGCGCAACGACCGCCACAAATTCGTTTTTTTCTTCATACAGCTTTGGCTTGCTAGCGGCTGCTTTTAATGGCCAAAGGCTATGGCCAAAGTTGCGCGTCTTAATCGGCTTATAAGCAATTACTTAATATCATTGCACAGTTTACCAACTTAATTCACAATTGCAAAAAGTTCAAAGGTTAAATGCACGGCTTCCCCTGGACTTGTGTACATTATCAGAAGCTCGGGCTTGCAAAGTGCAGCCGCATAAAATAAAGCGAAACACTACCAATTGTGAACTACCAGCAAGAATTGTGGGGTAGTGGGTAGTGAGCAGTGGCTGCTTCGAACCGCTTAACATAATGAGCGTTCAGTTCAAATAATATCAATTAACTGAAAGTTACGTGCTTCAGCTAATTATCTCGCTTAATAAAGCGCCTAATGAGTGGAAACAGCTGCTCACGCCCAGCGCATTATTCAAGGGCGATGTCGGTAATAACAACGCGAATCCTTTCCATTCTCTCTGTCCATCTTCACGATTCTCCTTTGTTTTTCATACTTGTAGGTTCTTTACATTTGGGGCTCGGCGCTTTGCACCTCATTTCTGGGTTACTAAAAAACAATTAGCAATGATATTTAATTATTAATGTTATTGCTAGAAAACTTTTAGGTTGTCTTTACAAATTATTTCAATACTGAACGCAATACTAAATAATTCTTGCGCCTTATGTCCGAAGGGTGTAATGAATTATTCAGATGTGGATAATTACAACACATCAAACAAAAATGGTCCACAACTTCCCTCATTTCTCTTTTTAATGAATATGAGTAGGTTAATCGATAAGGTCATACCGATATGTCGATGCATTCATTAATTTTTCTGTCGGCCTCTCCCTTTTCCATATAAATTGAAGAAATAAAGATGAAATAATAAAATACTTAGCACTTGGACTAATTGCATTGATTTATCCTTTCTATGTGAATTCTTGATTAGATTCGATTATTTATTGGACTTATTATCATGGCTACAAGATAAAGTAATGTTTTAATCGTATAATGTTTAACATCAACTAGACGACTACAATTAAACTGGGACTGCTTTTTTATGTGAGTTCGTGATTAGATGCGTTTATTATTGAATTGGATTTAGTATCATGGCTACAAGATAAAGTAATGTTTTAATTGTATAGTGATTAACATCACTGCTTTTCTCCACGCTTCGACTGTCAAGGCTGCTGAACCATGACTGGCTGCTAAGTCAACTCACGAGCTACCCAGCCTGGACAACCAATTCCGCTATTATCCCCCGCTTACATTTACATAATTATTTATAAAGTATGCATATATTCTGTGTGTTACATACATTCGCACAAAACTAGCGTACCCTTTTACGCTTTGGGTACAGGGTATATAAATAAGCCTTCAGCTCGAGCATGATCAAATATGACACCGAAGCCTTTGAATAGATGGGCTGCTATATTAATTTCAGTGACTGGTAGCTTTGACTTACATCTGAGTGAAGACGAAATCCTACAACATAATTGGTGAGAGTATCTTATGTTCGGCTGTCAGGCGATAAGGGTCTTTTGCTTATTTGCGCTGCGGTAACTCACTGAACAAATAGCTTGAGGCCGGTGCATACATTTGTACAAGCATCTCTACATGCATACTCGTACCTGTGAGTGTGTGCGAACAATGTTTATAAACTGTCATTGTCTAGATTCATGTTGCAGATGCTTTTCATGTTGCAGCTCTGCTTGCTGTTTCTATTTGAGTTGTTTTTGTTTTCTTTGACAACTTGTTGTTATTGCTGCCATTGTTGGTGGTAGTGCGGTCGTTTGTTGTGTTGATAGTTGGGTTTGAATTTGCGGCTTGCAGCACATTTTGGATGAATGTACAAGGCCACACAATGCAGAAAAGCTTACGTGCCATTAAAATGCCCCAAGGCTGTTGATTGCCAAAGAAAAATGTACGTAACATGTGGCTTACCCCTAACTTAAGTGTAGCAATGCACTGGGTGTGGCTAAGAGTAGAAAGCTATGGCACATCTACGTAAAGACAAATGGCTTGCAAAAATTCCAAGGTGGAGCTTGATTTTTCCCAGACGTTAGTTCTAAGGTAAAGTGCGTTCACTGATATGTTTGGTAGCTCGCTAAGCACAGCAACAGCTCTAGCTGCAGATAATTTGGTGTTTCATAAAGGATTAGCTGCTCTTTTTGTGTGCACTTTTCTTTTGTTCCAGAAACTAGCAGAAAATAAAGCTATTTATCCTTCACTGTGCCTTACCAGAAACGGATTGCCGCCTTGGTCCAAAACTATGGGAAGCCGCACTCTGCATGAACTATCTTTCTCTTAGAGACCTGCACTATATTTGCAATGAAGTAAATCCTATCCACTAATTGATTATGTATAACGCCCCTGATGATTACGCGATTCGGCTTGCACGACGCGTTATTTGCCAGTATTTGGGTATGAGCTATATTAAGATTTCACAGAAGTTTTTCAGCAGGTGAAAACTGATATAGTCGGAAGTAGTACTTTTGTTTTATACATCCAACCATACTATATGATATGATACTGTGGTGTAGCAAGTGTGGTGGTATGCGCAACATTTTTCGAATAGCGTCGACAAACAGGATAAGAGACAGGTGGGCCTACATATGACTACTGCGTTTAATTGGTTTTGGTCTATTATTTCCATTGTTGAGAACAATAATCTTGCTTTGTAATGACATTGACCAGCGTGGCAGGGCAAGGGTTCCTGGATTACCTCTACAACCTGGGTTGAAACCTAAACTGATCAGATTGCACCCCCTTCGCCACAGGTTGCAGCATAAGCCCCTTTTGCGCGCCCATTTGTCAGCTCTGTCACTTCTGGCCGTTTTAGTCTCTATTATTAGACCGTTGTGTGGGTGCGCCACCCACAATTTAAGTGTACCTGATGTAGGTCGGTGAGAGTTTTTGCATGTACTTTCTCTGTGTCTGCTGTTCCTCGCCTTTGAGCACTTAAAGCTCTTGTGGCTGCTTTCAGATGTTGTTTGGCAGCAGGCGATCTGTCGGACTGCCACTTCCGACGCAGGCATCGCTCTTCTGGGGCAAACAGCTTGATGTGCTCGTTGGTCAGGCCAATTCTTGTTGTTTCTCTTGGTACTTTGGAGGTGTGACGTTGTGTGTAGCTGAAATTATTATAATCTGAATGTCTTTCACGGTGCTATCAATATAGCTGTGTGTGAAATATTTTATTTATTTAAGCTTTTGCCAATTCGTCATTTTGCCTTAAATCATTACTCTTTTTAATTTGTGGCTGTTGTTTGCATTTACTTCTGCTCTTACAAGGCTGCGAGTTATTTTTCTCGTCACTGCAAAGTCAATTAGATATCGCAGCTTGAGTGCCTCAGTCGGCCAGAACGTAGGACTCCCATAGTACATATTCTCTTTTTGAATGCTGAAGATGCATTGGGGTAAAGGACAACATATCTAAAACTTTGGGATCATTAAAGAAGATAGAAAAGCGGACATCACGAAAAGAAACCGTCTACAGAGGTGATATTTTCCAAGTGCCGTCAACCTCATCAGTAGTTTGTATGCCTGACTCTATATATCTATTTGATTCCCAGACCACTGCATCATAGCACTTGTCCCTCGTGCAATTTCATCCACAACTAGAAGCTGACATGTATACGAAACTAAATCGAACAAACATTTTGTTCCTAAGTTAAGTAAAACTAAATTTTCTATTCGTTTTCGTAAGGACCGTAAGCGGGTTGTAAAATTAGTTTTATAAATTAACATATTGCTTGTATATTAATAATCGGAGCATGTTAGTTGTATGATAAGAAGGAATCCAAGGTAAATCTCCTTACCTGTCTAATTTTGATCCACGAATGTGGGAATTAAAGAGACATTTTTTGAGGCTCCCTTGACTAATCTACAGCTTCTAATTGCCTGAGCTCCGAAATTAAACTTTGCCATAGGGTACAAGCGGCAAGCGGCTCAATCTGTCAAAGGCAGCACACAAATTGCATTAATTTCCAACAAGGATACATATAAACAAGCGGGCTGTCCATTTATCCGGCTGCCTATGCATCAGTGCATAGGACCGCTGCCTGCTTGCTTGCTGGCAACCGACAACTGCAAATCGGCTAAATGCAAATTGCATTGCCTGCCGCAAGGCACACATGCATGCACATCAGCATCAGCATCTGCATCTGCATCAGTGGGGCTTGAGCTTGAGAATCAGAATCAGAATCAGCATCAGGATCAGAATCAACATGATGATGCATTGCATGCGCAGCTTGTCATGTGTATGACAGCGGCGCGTTTAAATAAATTTTCGTAGCCAGTAAACATTTAAGAAACTCAGCAGCCGCCTGTCAACCACAGCACGAAGAAGAAATCGGTTCATGTGTGCATGCATGTACATATATATATGTGTGTGTGTATATTTGTGTGTGTGGGTGTGTGTGTGGATCTGTGTGTGTCAGTTGGTCAGGCAAATGACAGCCCGTTGACGGACAGTTGGTGCTGTCTGTGTGGCTTCTATTGCATATGCTGTGGCATTTGCCAGTGACAATGGCCGACCATGGAATTCGAAAGGGGAGGTGTGTCTCTACTCCAAATTGATGCATTAATATGCAAATGAGCACACAAAATACAAAACTGCAAAACTTGCCTGCAATTAAAAGCTAAAAGAGCCAACCACGAACACGCGCAACTTTTTCAATTTAATTGGCCCCCAGCAACAGAAACTGCAACAGCGGCAGCACAATGCGAGATATCTTGCGAATTTAGTGTTATTGCAGCGATTGCAGCTCTCACGGCTCATAACTCAAGTAGGGAGATAGGACGAGCAGACGGACAGACAGCCTCCCACCACAGCCGCCCTTCACAAGCGGCTTGTGCTTGCTCCTCTACGACTGCACAATTAGCACTTCAGCGCAGCGG